GGGTCCAGCGTGTTCGACTTCCTCATCCACCGAGTGAGTGCGACGTCCAACGGGTTAATGCGCTCATCCAACGGCTTCGACGTCCAACGGGTTTGGGTCCAACGGGTTTGACTTCCAATGGGTTACCCTGACCTTGACCTCCCTGAACACCCCTCACTCTAACCCTGACTCTGACCACCTCATCCTCCACCCCAGCCTCTACCCTCACTCTTTGTAACCCTAACCCTGGCCCCATTATTGTATGGGATAATGCTCTTTAAAACTCCAATATTTTTGAACCCCCCCCTCTACCTTCTGATATAATCGTCCAGCGTGCTCGACTTCCAACGGGTTGATGGGTTCATCCAACGGGTTCGGGTCCAATGGGTGAATGGGCTCCTTGGACGGGTTTGACGTCCAACTGGTTTGGGTCCAGCGTGTTCGACTAATGTTTGTTTTTCTGTGATTAAAATCACTCCAGAATGAAGCCTTTCCGTTTTTTTATATATTTTGCTATTTTTATTTACTTTGTTGATCTTGCACCGCTTTGCGCCGCTCCGTTGCCTGGGGTGAAAATATATATATTTAGTTGGGTCTGGTTGGGTTGATGGCTTACCCCATCAAACATCGCACCTCAACTCATTGACTTTGACACTAAAATTTAACCCCTTCCCGGCGGAATTATCGCTTTTGATTTGGATATGTTGTATTTCATATCCACTACGGCCTACATGCAAAGTTTGAAGTCAATTGACTCCGTGGTTGATTAGACGTTCAACGTCTGAAACCAAATGGAATGTACGCCCAATCTGCCCTGCTCTGATTGGTCGGTTTTCTAAGGTTTTCTAACCCTAAATGGAATGGACGTCCATTCCACCCCCACCTGTTGGATAGATTGCCGCCAACACATGTAGCCATTGTGGATGAGCAGCTCATGTATTGGTTTGTTCAATTCTGTGGATAATATCAACTGCCTGAGATCATGCGCGATATGATCCCACCGTTGAATTATCTGCTTGATACTCTGTGTGGCTGTATACTTTAACTGATGAGTTGAACCCTTCAAATGCCGTTCAATTTCTGTTGGCCATACTGCATACTTGCATTGACGGCATATGATGATGGGGTATGATTCACACTGAATGAAAAATTGATGTTCCATGTTAATGAAGTCAGTGTATTCTTGAGTTGATATATATATATATATATATATATTCTTTGAAAATGAAGTATAAACACACTTCACTCGACAATGATAATTTGCTCTAAATTTAAGTTTTGTAATGCTTCTAAGCAATTGCAGATCAATACTTAAATGTATGATGTTAATTTCTGTCTGATTGTTATTTCGCTGATCTGTGACCGTTTTGATGATGGTAGTTGCCCTGGGGCGAAATATATATATTTAATATTGATAACTCTGCAAAACAACTTATCTACCTTAATGTTGTAATAATATGATTTTCTGATGAAATTATGTCTTGAAATTAAATATCATACTCTGTATATATAATATAACTGGCTCCTGAAGTTTAAGGTCTGGTTGTGATGAGTTGTCTATGAAAATATAATATTATACATTTTATAACGGAGGTGAAAGGCTGATTTGTATTGAAATTTATAAAGATGACAGCTAGCTGCTGAAGTTGGAAATCTGGTCATAATGAATTGCATGAGAAAAATATATATCTTTTATCATTTATAGCTCTATGTTGTCATCTATTTCTACTGTTACATATGATGGCTGCTGTTTTTGAGCTTTTCTGCTAACGCTCTTTTCCATGTTCCGTGCCCGCTTTCGCACCCCTGGGCCTGGGTTAAACCCCAGGAATTCATGCCACTCCCGGCTGACAGCCTGGTACCGCACACGCCGTGCCTCAATGTGGCCTGGTGCCTCCTGCAGCCCCCGCGCATATACTGTACCTGCAGCCCAGGATCCATGGCCTGCCTGCTGGTCTACTGCCGCATCATCTGCCTCATATTCCCGCTTGAACCCTCCACAGGACAGGTGCATACGCGAGATGGCAATGGCGGCATGCCGCCAAGTGATTACATTGAGCTTGGTCTGGAAGTGTGTCTTTGCCTCGCGCTGAGCACCCACCCGCACCGGGCTGCTGTCCAAGGGCCATGCCTCCGCAGCCAGAGAATGGGTGACCGCAGCCCCCCTTGGCATCACTGTCTCCATATCAAACCGGCTGGACCGCCCGCTCAAAAGGAAAAATCCACCCAAAAGTAATACACCACCGCTCGGAATTGAAACACCTTCGGAGGTTGGGGGCAAAAGGGTTCTGATGGCGGTCAACACTCGGTTCCACCGTGGTCTGGCTCAGCTATCCTTCTGTGGGCTCTCTATTATATATTTT